CCCAGCCTGTATTTATGTTTGGGATTGCTACAGGTTTTAAAATTGCTGTCATAGAATCATAGAACATTTGCTAATGGTCTCCTTGTATTAGATTGTATTAGGAAGAGTGTTGCCAGCAGGTTGAGAGAGGTTCTCCTCCCCCTCTGCTTAGCCCTGGTGAGGTCCCACCTCAAGTACTGTGTCCAGTTCTGGGCTCCCCAGAACAGGAAGGACATGGAACTCCTGGAGCGTGTCCTGGTCTAGACGACTAAGGTGATTAAAGGGCTGGAGCATCTTTCATGTGAGGAAAGGCTGAGTGAGCAGGGCCTGTTCAGCCTGGAGAAAAGATGACTCAGAGGGGATCTGATTAATGTTTATAAATATCTAAAGGGAGAGTGTCTAGAGCACAGGGCCAGACTCTTCTCATTGGCACCCAACAATAGGATGAGAGGCAACGGGCATAAACTGCAGCATAGGAAGTTCCACCTGAACATAAGGAAGAACTTCTTCACTGTGAGGGTGACTGAGCACTGGAACAGGTTGGCCAGAGAGGTTGTGGAATATCCCTCCCTGGAGATATTAAAAAACTGTCTGGACAAAATCTTGGTTCATGTGCTCTAGGAGTCCCTGCTTGAGCAGGGTGGTTGGACTGGATGGCCTTCAGAGGTCCCTTCCAACCTCAACCATTCTGTGCTTCTGTGAACATCTCAAGTTGGATGGGACTCATGAGGATCATCAAGTACAATTCCCTACTCCTCACAGGACTACCTAAAACACTGTCATGAGATATAAGCTAGAGTTGAAAGTATGATTACTAACTTCCTTAAGAAAGCACAACTAGAGTGTTTTTGGTCAAAGCAGTGCTAAATACAAATTATATTATTGGTAAAACTGAAAGTAGAAATCTGTCCCTGGTCCAAATTCTGTCCTGGCAATATAATGTCTCTCCACTAGACAAGAATTTAATTGATTAGATACAGGTGAGCATGTATAAATAAGTGAACTGGATCTTCTGTAAAATTAGAGTGAGTTCTGGAGGAATATTAAAGCAGTCATCCTTTTTCTCCATTTCATCAGCTTGATTTGTTCAACTCCAGTACTATGTCTTGTTCTATACTCATAAAACAAGAACAGATTATCTTTACTTTGTTTTCCAGACACTTGTTAAAATTGGCAAGTGGCAAGAGGTGACAGATCAACAGATCTAAAAATGGAACAAAAGCCACTCTTGACATGCCCAAGGCAGAGAGATCCAACTTGCATTAATTCTGCTGAACAAGAAACCTACTTGGCTTTTAAGTGAACAAGGAATTTATTGGTGTCACGCACTATGTGTGACCAACTTTCAGGCCATTGGGTGGATACATGTGTGGGGCACAGCTCAGTTCCCTCCTGCACAGGACGGCCTGCACTCACCGTCTCTGACTGAGCATGGCTGGCAAAGAGAGGGGCATTTTTTTCTATTTGATTTTTTACAAACAGCTGCTGCTGCTGTTTGCCATCAGTCTGGTATCAGAGTTAAAAACCTTATTTTCAAAGCAATTTGACAAGTCGGTGACATACCTCTTTAACTAGCAGGTAGGACCCAAGTGAGACAGCATCCAAACAAAATTAGATCCTAAGTGAAGAATGAGAAGGAAAGTTGCCCAGAGGGGTGCAATAATAAAAACTGACTGACCTCAAGGTAGTGGGGAGTGTGGGCTTGTTCGGGACTGCTATGTTAAGACATGACCTCTTCTAGCAGAGATATTTCAGCTGCCCTTTGCCCATGGGACACTCACAAGCACTGCGGTACCAGCCTGACACTGGTATCACACAGCACCTGCAGAGCTGGACCAAACCAGCTCTGACAGAGCTCACAGAAACTCTGCAGTCCAAGCCACCAAGTCCATGTAAGCCCAGTGGGGAGAGGATGGCTTCAGTAGGTCCCTGCTTCAAAGGGACTATGTAGGAAAAGCTGTTTGATAAAGATTTGGGGAGGGAAGAAGGAAGGACACAGAAGAACAGAAGTGTTTAGGTTCCTTGAAGGAAGGCACAGAGGTCTGTTTCCCTGTCTTGTCAGGCAGGTAGCCTAGCTTAGGACTTGCTCCAATGCCATCTAAAAAGCATCTCCTTCACCACGCTTCCAGCATTGTTGGAAGATAAGGCTCAAAGGCTTTTATTTCAGTTGGTAACTACTTTCCAGTTCAAGCAAACCACTTGAACACCATCCTTTGGTGCCTCCCATGATACATTACATGGCTGAGAGAGAAGGCACTTCTCTCCCCAACAGCAAAGGGTCCAACCTTCGCAGCGCATGCAAGACCAGTGAAGGCAGATCATCTTGGGCAAAGTTTTCTATTCTGCCAGTCAGCAGCAAAAAGGTAGTCTGGACACTGATGCTGTTCACATCAGCAGCCCCCAAGGGCTGAGCTATCCAGTCCTCCCTGCTTTGACTTGGCAATCTACCCTGTTTTGCTGCTGCAGTTGCAATTTGCAGCATTTCTTGATGATGACAAATCACATGTAGAACAGGAGAGGAGTAAAACAGCATAATGAAATTTTATTCTGAAAATATGGCAAGAGTCTAAGGCACTTCAAACATTTCAATACACATGACTAAAGTGAATGTGACAAGGTAATAGCATTCCATAAATACGCACCGACAACTTCGCTCAATTCCACTCAAGGGGAATATACAGCTGGTACCTCTAATTTTACTCTCCAATAAACATGTATGGAGCTTATACACTGACACAGTTAATAAAAATATGGTAACAGGACATGTAATTCTTCATGTAGCTTTTAATTATTAAGGAATATAAAATGTTGAAAACACTGTGCGAGTTAATTTTATAGATACTAGTATCTTTCATATAAAAAGTTATACATTATCCCCAATTAGCAAAAACTTACTTAGTGAACTTCAGACCTGACAAGAGGATCTATCCCCAATACCTACCCACTCACCCACCAGCTCGGGATCCACGGAGCTGACTATATAAGCAACTGCAACTTCTGAATTTCAAAGTAATTAAAAACATCAAAATAATGTTGGAATGAAATTTATGAAAGTTTTCTGTGATAAAGTCTAGGCACAGTAAATATAAGCATGTTTTAGAATTATTAAAAACAAGCCACTGGGACACTCCTGCATGGATAGCTTTAGAAGCCTTAGGCTGCACATAACATAGGAAAGGATAATCTATAGCAAAGAAAAACAGGATTTATGCCAATGTACGGAAAGACAAGTAGGTGAGCAAAAGCACAGTTCTGGCTAAGATTCTCAGCTGAGCACTACTTAACTATATTCTTGCTTCAAGTTTACAGTTTTCTATCTTTAGCACTAGATCTCTGCTTTCACTTTGCTGGTGAGTTCAGGCACAAGACAATTACATTCAGTATCTGTCTCAGTAAAACAGTAACATTTAGCAGCTTAAAGATGGCATAGAGATTTTTATAGATATTCATGCACTACTACTCAAATGTGGCTCTGTGCGTGGGACCAGGAGATGTCTTTCTGCTGAGCCTAGGAGTACCCTAGAAAAGAGGAAAGAACAGTTAATCAAAGGGAAATTATTTCAGCCAGCTGTATGAGAACACAGCACTCACAAGCACTCTGTTCAATCCCTTGCCATTTAATTGCACAGATTAATCTTTCTTTTTTCTTTTTTTTTTTTCTTTCATTTTAGGAAGAATGGTGCCAGCTATCATATAGCCTACTAACCGAGAGTGCATGTTGTTTAGACAGTGAAACATTTAGCAGCAGTTTATCATAAGAGCCAGTTGTGGCTCAGAGAGCAAGTGGACAGTTGCCAGAACACCTAAGACAGCACCAGGAACAGCTGTGTTTTGGTGATCAGGTCAATAATTAGCATTCCAATGATGCAACAGCACCTCTGCATGCTAGCCAGAGTCAGTGAACCCTGCTAGTGAGCTATCTTTACCCCCAGATAAAAGGGAGGAGGAGGAGGAGGTATCCTTCAGCCACGGTTCAGCCTTCTGCAGACAACCTCTATTCAAAAATGTACATTCCACTTAACAGCATAAAAATTATTCTGTGAATAAATTCAAAATTTAATGTGCTGCACTGCTGTACAACTGCCAGGTTTATGTTTTACTATTATGTTCAGGAGCAGCAAGTTAAAACATAAACTGTAGAAGATTGTGTACTAACCGGTGACTGGGTTTTGGAAAAGTTGACATGGGCATAAAGGAGAACTGCTATGTCCTTATGTCCAGCTTCCAGGGCTATTGAGAGTGCTGTACTGCCATCCTGAGAGAAGAAAGGAAGAATCAGTGCTTCTGTGCATTAACAGATCTCTTTAAAAGCCCCATCAGCCCCCAGAGAAGGGAAGCTAGGAAGTGGAGTCCCTACTGCTCAGGTAGACAGTTGGTTTAATTTAGAGTCTTGTTTTATTTCTTTTATTATAATTAAGTGACAATAAGCCTTGCACTGCTGTTTTATGAGGCAGTCCAATTGTCAGAGGCCTCATAATTTCTCTCAACAAGGAGTCTTGATTATTGCTGAGGAAGAATGAGCACGCCATTATCACAATAACGTTACATGTAGTGCTGTGTAAGACCAGCAATTTCAGAAGACTTGGCTGCCTGAGAGAAACTACCATGTCAGTGAGGAGTGGAAGAGAAGATAAGGGAGGGACAAATGCTAATCAAATATCATTATAATTGCTGTGTTACAATGATAATTTTTGTATTATAGCTCCCATTAACACTAAGAGCAGTTGTATTCGTAATTCCAAATGCTCCATGATGGAAGTTTAACTACAAACAGATGGATTTTCCTGGCCAAATACTGTCACCTCAGTTTCTCAGAAGACATTATCGCTTTCAGAAACCATAGTTGTTGAGGCTGCTAGAAGCAAAGAGTGCTTTTGCTGAAAGGGTAATTTATTGACCTGCTCTTTTCCCTTTCGACTATGGTCCAGGAAGAAGCAGATGTCAGACAACCTGTGATGTGAACCTCTGAGCTGTCAGAGTGGCATACTTGTAGGAAGCTGCCACATCCCCAATTCTGCATTCCTTGCTTCCTTTCCTTCCTGAAACTGGTGCATCACATGGCTACAAGCCCCTACTCTACAATGGTGTTTAAATGACAAGGCAGGCAGCTATAATCTCAGCACAAAACTCACAGTGGCTTGCTGGTACACTGCCTGGCTTTTTTGGCTCTTCTGCACAGAATCCACAACAGTGCCAGTATTTGAAATGTACTCTCATAGAGATTGCCTCTTCTGTTGGCTCTCTGAATGGAGCAGGTTTTCCAGCCACTGCCATAGCACTGGTATTAGAGAGGTCAGCACCAGTGTAAGAAAACTGTAAACCCTTTTTCCAGCGTGGGACACGATGGACAGCATCCAAGTGAAAGTCTTCTTATGAGACTACAGGGAGTGATTATACATAAATCTAATTGTCCTGAGCAGACCGGGAGCTAGAAGAGATGTCCACTACAGTGCACTATAATGCACTACAAATGCTCCACAGTCAACACCAGGAAAAGGCAAGTTCTTAAAGAGAGATGCTGAATCACTGTCAGAGTGGCATGCATCAGTAGGATGAAGCTCAGCTTACTACTGATCATGCTGACTGGAAAAGCGTCACTGTCACATTCAGAATAGCTAGGGGAATGCTAAAAATCTCATAATCTCATAGCACAGACAAACCCATTATAAAAAAAAAAAGCAGCAGACAAGCTTTGGGAAACAGTATCAAGCTGCCTACAGGAGCAGTTAAGTGTCATCTCCCAATAAAGACTTTAATTAGTGACTTGGTGAATAATAGTGCGAACAGCATCCAAGCCGCAGTAACCTAGATTGCCCCCAAAAGTGTTTGTTACGCTGAGGCCTTCTTAACATTTTCCACCCACGCCAGCTGTTACACACCACTGGCACCATCGGGCAACAGAGCCGGCTCCAGCAGCAGGTGAGTGAACAAACAGAAATGATGTCTCTGCCTCTCTGCAACAGCTTCAACAAATAACCACCCACTGCCCTCCCAGATCCCAAATCCAGGCTCCATTTCAGCGCTCAGTGTGTAAAGTAATAGGAAGAATGGAAATGTACCCAAAAAGTGATGTCGTTAATAAGAACAGAGTACTGGCAAGAAACCAGCTAAGTCAACATTTTCAAGCTTGAGAAGCCTACAGATCAAATTGTCTGCTGATAGTTTAGGCTGCAGTGATCCTTGCAAACAAGAAACAGGCAAGTGTCTTGCTTGGCACTGAAGTTACAGCCTGTATCTTTTTTTTTTTGTCAGGACAATGAGACCAAACCTGTACTTTCAAAAGTCGTGGTGTAGATACTATGCGAACATCCTGTGAAGAGACCTGTAGGGCTGATGTTTGCCCTAGACACAAGAAAAGCAACACGGCAAGGCTGTTAAGTCACTAGATAAGATCCTAACTGAAAACTGGAAGACTCCTGGGAAAGAGAGAAGGAATGTGAGAAGGGAAGATGTTTTACCATGAGCTAGGAAACCTTTTTTCTGTTCTGGCCACTGTACACCTACCATAAAACTAACCATCTAACTAACCACCTAACCATAAAAATTGCTACTGGGTAGGTCTGTTAGAAAAGCAAAGGCACTAGCCAAATAATCACAGCACTTGTTACCACTAAGCAGAGGATTCATGCAATTGGTACTTTGGTGCTGTTGAGTCAGAGATTCATGCAAGTAGATTTCAGCAGTTCTCCACTGCATCCAAAAAACCCCTGAATTAGAAAAACCTTCCAGAGTGGAGAAGCTGTTTGGCAGAAAGGCAACTCACATTGTCCTCCAGGGTGCCATTACACCCAGGCTGAGCCAGCAGAAGTTTGACAATCTCTACATGTCCGTGTTCGCTAGCACACATTAGAGCTGTAGAGCCTTCGTCGTCCTGGATATTGACGTCTGCACCACATGCCAGTAAAGCTTTAACCATGTCTATCCGCCCATGACTCACAGCTAGCATCAGTGCGGTCTGACCAGCCTGCATGGAAAGAAGAGGAAAGCCCAAATCACCGCACAGACAATCAGTGACAAAGCATGCACACTTACTATTTTTGGCACTGTGCTTCTTCTGGGGGGGGAAAAAAAAGTTATTTTATACAGCACTCTAAAGGCTCTGCTTGTAATTATTTAAATACTTTTTATGCATAATATATCCCACATTCACATAGCTCTTTATTAAATTAATGGAAGATATCGGATCTGCTTCCAGACACCTGGAGTTCCTTGGAAGGAGATAAATGGTACAGAATTTGTAAATGGTTCCCAAAATTCAGTAATGCTTCTTTCATATAACATGCAATCTTCATTTTTAGAAGAGATCCAGACTTGAGGCTCAACTATTCTTCCACAGCTCCATTTTGTATACAGCAATCAAAAACATACACACAAACATGAAAGACCTCAGAGGATGAAAGTGGATGAGTGCAAAAGCTGAACAGATGGAGATAGAAGTGTGGAAGGAAAGATAAAAAGACATGGGAGCATGAACAGTGTCTCATGACTGACCTGACTGGCTTTAGCATTCACGTCCCCACAGCTGAACAGCTCCTCCACTATCCCCATGTCCTTCTCCGCTTCCACAGCTGCAAGCGCAGCAAGCATGATGGGGGTATAGCCTGCCTTGTTCTGATGATTTACGTTACAGACATCTGCAGAGGAATGAGATAATTTATTTGGAAAGCAGGAACCCAAAAAGCAGCAATTGTGCTGATGAACTGAATAAACTGTTTGCAGAGCAGCCTATAAAAAGAAAAGGCAGCAATTGCTCTCATAATGGAAGCAATTCAAGGGAAAGTAGAGAAGGAGAGAAATAAACAGGGGTGCTCTTGAGCCTGAGAAAGAAAGGGATTCTCTTCTACTGTGCATTCAACGCAAGGGAGAGCACAAAGCCATTTTATATGTCATCAGTTAGGGCTTCCTTTATGTGTTTCATTTTTTTTTCCTTTTGTAAAAGCAAGTGGTCTGAAATTTGACATGACCATCAGGGTCATGGGTCTGAACCTCAGGAATACCATCAGGAAAGTCTTTAAGCTCCTCTCCTGAGGTGATCCACACTACAAAACAAAAACAGCCCAGCAACATGGTTAGTGGAAAAGCTGTTTCTCCTCAGCACAAACATTTTCCTGTAATTGGTGTTATTTTAAAGATCTGCGAGTGTACTTTGACCTGTTTTGGAGCTGTAGAAAAAACCTTTCAATTAAAGACTGTTTCCAGCTCTACAGAGTATTTGACTGTGAACAAAAGTACTCTGGGAACAAATACAGTCAAGTTCCCTGAGTAGTGCCAGCAACTGACAAGAGTTCTCCTTTTCATTCAAGTCTAACCCCTAGTCTGTCTCTGTTCCTAAAATTCTGCAGAAATACAGCAGGTCATCTTAGTTTACCAGGCAGCAGGGCTTTCAGTGTGCTCATCGTATTGGAAAGCACAGACTCAGACTTGCATAAACAGTATCTCTAGACTTGGTGTTAAACTGCACCACAGATATCTTAACAAGCAAAAATGTTTCAGGAAATTCTTCAGATTTATTGCCAAAGGTTTTTTTCTCTCTCCTTTTTTTTTTTTTTTTTTTTTTTAAAGTGAAAAGAACATGGCAGAAGCAATACAAGTACAGATGTAAGAAAATGCACATTTTTTCATGCTCTATCATGCTCATCTAGACATCACCTGTGCTACCTTATAACCAGTAGCCCAACCTTACTTTCAGAAGTCACTTCTGGGAAGCCACAGAACATGACACTCTGCTACATGCATTATTGCATGAGTAATGAATAATTATTGGAAGTGATGCTCTCCTACCCTGACTAGACTACTCCACCAGAGGTGTGTTTTCTGAAGTCACATTTCAGCTCCTTTTCGATAGGACTAATGAGTGGAGTTATTTTCCTATTTGCCTTCTTGGTAACACTGCATGGTGACACAGAGAAGTCTTGTCTCATCTCTCTTCCCACCAAATACACAGACACGGAGTTCTTGGACCAAGACTCTGCCTGTGGCATAGCCACAATGCAAAGTTGACAGCAGTGACCATTTAGACATGAACCAGAGGAAGACTGTTGAAACCTGAAGGAATATGCCTGTTTGCAAATATTTCCCAAGTGCTGGCATGTGCAGTGTGCTCCCACACACCTGGCACTATTCACAGTTTTTGGATTTTACAGTCAAAACCCATTGTGTTAATAGAAATACATCAGCTGATGTGAACTACAGGAGTCCTGACTTCCATCAACAGATGAGCGTGCTTAAGCTACCCTGAGAGACCCAGAGATGCAGAGGGGCAGTTTCCTGCCAGTGCCCTGCTGAAGAGCCAGCCTGCTGCGTTTCACTGTGCTCCTGACATTCCCTGCATTCCCCTGCTGTGACTCACTCTTCCCCAACAGGCTGCATTCAAACAGGACCAGAGATTGCAAAGCACTCTGCCTTCCTGCTGAGGAAGTCTCTGCGTGCGACAGATGTGCTGGGTTATCACAGCTGAGATTTGTATCATTAATATCCTTGTTTATCTGATGCCATCGTTCTGGACTTACAAATATTGCCAGGCTTACACTCCAGCCACATCATTGGCCTAGTTAAGCTTCACAACCAACTGTGACAGGTTTTATAACTAGTTAGAGAATGGAACTTCAGTCAGGGAGCAAAACTAGGCTTGAGCAGATCACATCTTGCCTGGGACCAGCTCCAAAGTGTGATACCTTCTGCAGGCTGCCTTCTGGCTTAGCACATGTGGGGAGCAGATGCTCTAGAGTCTCCTCTCTGCCACTACCCGCTCTGCATGTGTGTTGCAAGGGGACTGAAAGAAGGAAGCAACAGGGATTGAGAGAAGGAAGCAACAACAAAAGCAACTAAATGAAGCATCATCACATTGTTCGTGGGTCAGCAAAATGCTCCTATATGCCAGAACGCTATATTGCTCCAGTTTCTCAGGAGAGCAATATACATGTCAAGGTGGTAGCCAGAAAAAACTTCTGTATTGTTCTAGTAAGAGAAAGCTAGACTAGTTTGAGTGTTAAACGTGGATGTTTATACCTAAATGCATCTTCCTCCATCAGCACCTTTGGCTGAGCAGCAGCTGTGCTGCCTCCAGAGAAAACTGCTGGAAGCTGGTGCTGCTGAACTTGGGACTTCAGTTCAAGGTTCACGGATCTACCTATCTGTCCCAAACACTGGTCAACTCTGTATATCATTTACTTGAGTGTTTTTGTAGCTTCTTCAAGAGCCATCACCATCATCTCCAAAGCTAGCACTAGAAAAAAGGATTCTACACTATCCAAGTGAGCCACCACCTAACTGTTAAAACAGCAGCCTGAGGAAGTCCAAACTTGATCTCTTGCTCATCAAGAATTTAACCCGTGAGGACTGCAAAAATAAAAAAAAAAATTTAAAAAATGCAAACAAGCGAACCTACTTGCATCCAGAAGAAGCTTTACAATTTCAAAGTTAGAATGTGAGACACTGTAATGCAGAGCCGTGTTTCCATTTCCATCTGCCATATTGATGATATGTCTGAGGACAGCAGGAGAAATATCTTCAAATGCAGTTATGTAGTCACCAACCATTTCAGGGACAGCCGACTTCTGACTTGAGATACGAAACCACTCATGCTGGATGGTATTTAAACAGAACCTCTGCCAAAACCAAGACAGAAAAAATTACATATGGGAAATCTATTTAAAGGATTTTCCATCCCACAAGTCAGCAATGCAGGAGGTCAAGTCTTTTTTAGTCAAATGTGGGAAGAAAGTATTCAGCTTGCAAACAAGATGTACGAACTGAAGCTTCCCCTCTGACTAAACTCCTCTTTTAAACACCAATGGTTTACCTCCTCTCATTTCACCTCATTTTCCGGAATGGTTCACCTCTGAGGGCACAGAATTTTAGGATGAGATTACTCCCAGAATTAATGGGCATCAAATACTGGTGAACTGAGAAAAGACTTGGAGTAATCATTTCCATGAAATACATAACCAAGTTTATAAATCACTGATGAACCCAAGACTAAGAGCAGTGGGAATGCACATTTCTCAAGGACTTAAAGCAACAGCAGCTAAGTCAGTTAGGCCCAGTCCTCAGGCATGAATTATCAAAGGCACAAAGTACAGGAGAACTGGCTGGACAGCAGTTCTGCAGGAGAAGAGCTGGGCATTACAGAAGATTACAAGCTGAACCTGAGTTAACAACATCACACTGTAATGAAAAAGGCAAATACTGTTTTACGGTGAATAAAGAGATTTATAAGTTGCACAGCACGTGATGCAGTCCCTTCTCTCTGCCTAGCACTGTGAAGGTAGCAGCTGGACTACCTTGTCTGGTCTGATCACTGAACGACACAAAATATTTGGTCAAAACAGTTTCAAAGGTGAGCAGTGAGAACAATCAGAAGTCAAGGAAATCCAGCCTACAGGACAGTCAAGAAGGACTGGAGATGCTCTGAAATAACAGCAAGGGAAAGGAATCTCATAACATTTTCACAGTGCAAAAGGCTGTTGCAGTGAGAAAAGAAAGAACCTGTTCTTCACCTGCAGGATGGATGGCTGCAGCAGTAAGGGATTTTAGCTGCAACGAGAAGATGCAGGCTAGACATTCAGGATAAACTTTCCCATTGCTATACAGTGAGGATGGTGTATAGCAATGGGAAAGTTGGGGTTTTTTTTAAATTTCTTAGTTGTTTAGGATCCTTAAGTTTCTCCTTACCTAGGAGCCTCTCAGGCCAGGTAACTGTCTATTTGGAACAACGTAGATAGAGCAGATCTAGCTGTGAGTCAAGGAGAGCAGCTCCTGCACTAACCCCCAGCTCTGACTTTCTAAGACAATTTCTCTAACCTGGAAGGACCACGATGTCCTTCTTCTCTTCTCATAAAACTCCCACCCGCAAGGCAGCCAGTAAGTCCAAGGACAATTTTTCACAGAAGATGCTCAACATGCTTCTCTAGCCTCTAGGGAAAACATAGAGGATCTGTACCAGTAGCTCTACAGGGGGTCTGTGTCTGGTAAATGGAGAATAATCTACACATGTCAGTACTACATATATATCTGTACTATCTATACATATATACAGAATATTCTACATCAGTACCACTATAAAAAAACTTACAAGGTCCAACCATTTGAGTTAAAAGACCACGTGTATTGTGAACATACAGAGCTGAAACACAAAATACGTAATTTTTTTTTTTTATTTAGGCACTACTGAGTGCAAAATACTATTAAGAACTTATTTTTTACAGTCACAGTAGCACACGCATTATTAAGTAAATGGTACACTTTTTTACTCAAGTACTCCATCACATCCCAAAGGGAGCAGTCCGCAGCTCTTTCTGGTGTAAACAGCAGCTACCAGAGCCGAGTATGTTGGAAGAGGTTGGGACAATTTATACAAATCCCTAGCTGTACTGAAGTTTACCCTTTTAGGACAAGACTTCTTTATCAGCAGACAGAGAAAGAACAAGAGCTGATTAGTCTGCAGTTTCCAGCTACAAAGCACCACTTGTACTGGCAAACACTTTAAGCACAAGAAAGAAACATGTAAATTTGAATTATACTTCCAAGGCAGAGATTACCACCTGGTTATGCCATTTTTGACACTTTACACTCCAACTGAGCCTGAAGCATTTGTTGTCTGAATGCCTGAGGACTGACTCCTGAAGGACTGACACAGGATTAAAAACTACCTCTCATAACTGTTTTAAAGAACCTTTCAGAACATTTCCTGGATCACAAATGTCACAACTGGACATAGACAACACTACTGTCTTACAGACAATATTATTGTCTCTAAGAAGCTGCAGATGCTCTGCAGTAGAGGAGACTGGCACTGGTTTGTTGCCTTTTGCATCACAGCACAACTGTAACTAATTCAGTATCACTAAGCAGTGTTCCCTTGCTTTCAGACTGCCCTCACAAAGTAGCATAGGCAAATCCTGTGTGAGGCATATAGGCAAGTCCTAAATGAGGCAAATACAACCTTATTTCTTGAGACTGAGTATTAACAATGAATCCTCCTTACTCCCTGCTGCACTGATAAAAGCTACCAGGGCAGTATGTGAGGCAGAAAGAGTATCCCTGTGCTTAGAAGGAGGCAGAGCACCTGCAGTTTCAGAACAGACTAAGCTTTTGTCATGGGAAGAAAAGGCTCCTCACCCCTTGCCATCTATTAATGTGAGGCCTGAGAGCAGTGCTAAAGCAACACTTACAAAAATAACACAGGAATGCACAAATGTGTTGAAATTGTGCTTTCATGTTATTATTTTTACGTATGTGCCTTGGGACTATAACACACGAGCACACAAAGCAGCAGTACATTCTCTGGACAAAAGTCTCCTGTTAAAAAAGCACTTTATGGCTCTTCCAGCAAAGATTAAATCCTCTTGTGCCCAGCCACTGCAGTGCTCGTCCTGTAAAACCATAAGTTATCCCTCCCTGAAGCTTTTCTCAGATAAAATTTTGCCCTGCATTGCTTACCACATCTTTGTTGGTCAATGCCTTGGGGTCATCAATGTTGTTTCTCAGCAGATGACAGGCAGAAAGCATCTTTTCACTTAGTTCGTATCTGAGGGAGAGAGCAGAATACATGGCACGTTTCAATTTTTCTCTTGGTGTTTCAGCATAGAAACATTTACCTTTCTGAAAGTTGTGTGAGAATTAACATTTCCAGGCAAGCCATCAGCTGCTGCAATGCAGAAGCTGCTCTCGCAGCCCTTCTCCACAGGGACCCCCCTCCACAGCAAGCAGAGATGCTGGCGAGGCCGTAGACCTCCGCAAGGAGGAAAAATGCGTTTCCCAGATGTACGCAGGAGGAGCAGCAGGAACAGAGAGCAGGCAACGTATCACTTCTGTGCTTTAGACTTGGCAACCCTTTTAGTGGAAATTCTCACCCACTGCTGTACGACTGCAGAGCATGTATTATATACTCTGTGCTTTGATTACTTGATTAACAATAGGAAATGCCAATAGTTGTGATGGAAATAGAATTAACCGGTAGGAAAGGACACAGCTGGTGCCTCCCTGCCAGCTCCCGTTCACTGTAACCAGCCTTTCTCATCCCATGCACTCTGGAAATCTACTCTCTTTCTCCAGTCCCCATTCATGTTTCCACTTCTGTCCCTTTTCCATTACATATTTCAAAACTCAGGGAACAGGTGAATATAAGAAGGTCCATGCCCCATGCCACATAGCAGGCCAGGCTGTGGCCAACCATCTCTGCCTACAACCTACCACAGAGAATAATGCAAATATTCCAGGAAAATTCTCCCAAGAAGTGGAGAGGCTAACACACTCAGGTGTGTAAGGCAGGCATTTTAGCCCTCCAGGGTTACAAGCCAGCTGCTGGTGCTTCCAGAGCAATGAAATGCTCCACCACCACACAGATGATGCTTGGTCCTACGTCGCCATGCGCCCTTGCCTCTTGCCCTCAAAGGGTAATGCCAGGGCAGCCAGCTTGCAAAGAACATGCTCCTCAAGCTATCTAAGCTGTCCTGCTGCTCCTCTTCACAATCACCCCTTGAGAGGGTAAATGTAAATTAGAAAGCTCCTTTGAGAATTTATGCCATGTGTAAAGTAGCAGGCCATCCTACAGTACTGTAAAAATAAAGCTCAGGGCACTTCAGAACTCACAGCTCCAAGGCCTATGAATAGCTCTTAATTATGAATTTTTGCATTTCTTTTATTTAGTGGTTGAAAATCACAGATAATTTTGACGCTAAGCTGTATCTCCAGTGAAACATGACATCCTAATTTTGTCTTAGCTCTTTTACTGTTATTATTCCACTTACTTAATTTTCCAAGCTAGTACATTTGTAAATATCTGGTGAACCCAGTATCCCTTCACTATGTTTATACTTTCTTTCGTCCATTCACTTATCAAGAATTGGTAAAAATTCACCACACTAGTGCCTTCCATGTGCCAAAACCCCCCTGCCTTACCTGTCAAATTCTACCTTACACAGCTCACGGCCAGCAATTTGAAAAGTAACTTAGGCATGAAATGCTGCACCAGTGTGTGATGGTGGCCTTAAAGTATATTATAGCATATGAGCTCATATGAAGTATTTGATTGCAGGGTTGGACACCCTCCTCGCTGCTGTACCCCATGGTTTTACTGAGCAGTACCAGCCATGGCTAAGATGCTGCGGAAGTACAAATTCAAGATGTGCTCCCAGCAGGCTGCTGACCTGGTGTGCACGGTTCAAGACTCATTTCTTGCTAACTTACTGTTTTACAGACCAGGCTGTTAACAAGGCATTGTGTGCTCCCAAACAAGTGCCGCCTGTGACCTGGGAGAGCCTCTGCCAGGCTGGGGGGGCAGCCACCAGGGTCTTGCTATAAATGGACTATTCCAAACCACTGGGGTCAGCTGCTGGAAAGGACACCCTCCGACACCTTCTCCCTGCTCACACACGGTCATTATGTGATGAAACGACCTCTGGTTACCCACTTGAGGAGGAGGGAAGTGGGCACCAGTTGAGCAGTGATGGGGCTGGTGCTTTCTCCCTCAGCATGGGCAGAGCCTGCACTCGGCCCATGCAAGGAAGCAGTGGGTAGCCCCTCCAGAGGCATGGGGCAGCGGGCGAGCAGCCTACCTCTCTCTGATTTCCACCTCCTCGGCCTCGCACTCTGGGGGGCTGCTGTCCTTCTCTGCCCCCATGGCACAGAGCTCTGAGGCAGGCCGCCCCTCCTCTGTGAGCCGGCTGCAGGGGTACTCGTGGCCCTCGCTCTCCTCCTCCGAATCTGACGAGGAGCTCTCCTCAGAGCTGGAGTCATCGCTGGATGTCGTCTCGTACCTGAGGGGAGAATGGGTAAGGGCAGGGGTGCCTGCTCGGTGCTATTCAGCAGTGGTTGGTACCCACCTGTGCTGGTGCAAGTTGAAAAATGCCTTGCAAAGTCTCAGTTCTCCTGTTTTCTACTCAGAGACCTCTTCTACTCACTAAACGCAGTGCCACTGACACAGTGATTATTAAGTGCACAGTGTGTAATGAAAGAAGAACAACCTCTTTTAAACAGAAATTAACAGTCTATTAGACCTTGGCTTAGCCCCAAAATGAAATTGCTTTGTTCAGAGCAAGTTGTGTCGTTGCCTTACTAGACAGACATAAGCAGCGAAGTGAACAAAGATATCTAAAGACAAAAGCCAAAATTTTAACATTTTTTTCTGTGACAATCCAAAACATTTTGATATTTAAGGTGAAATATAAGTGACTTGGACAATTATAATGCTGATTCTAATGACCTGTCCTACCTCACCAACCTCATCAGTTGACAAATTAACATACTAAGCCTGTTCTCCTAATGTACACCAGTGATTTATGAGTGATCACATTCCCCCACTCTAAGTAATAATACTTTTAGTGAAAATGTATGAAATGAAGTAAGTGCAATATTCAGGCTATATACAGCATTTGTACTAGAGAAAAACTAATCTGAGGAAAGGGCTACAAAAGCTACATAAAAACAATTTGGTGAAACCATTTTAAAGTTCTTTGCAACATTCTGCAAGGGTAAGCAATATTTTTAAGGAAGATAGTTTTCCATACTGCTTTCTGTATTTGTATAGCAAAGTTTTTGCATTTATCTAGTGCAAAGCCAGAAATGTTAATTCTTAGGCAATGCCATCTCTTGCTGTACTGTTCAACAGCACAGTACTGCAATTCTCAGCTGCTGAAGATATATTAAAAGTTTTCCTTACTAAAACATTGCCTGAGAAATGTTCCCATGGCTCTCTGAGTTTGTTTCATCTTCCTGTGTTAAATCTGTCAGCAATCTAATCTGCAGGTACTTGAGACTGATGCCACTTATGTCTTGCGAGCACAAAAGGTTCACAAAGGATTAAGATGAGCTCAGGTGTTTCGTTCTTCCCTCCAATCTTTAATCTCAGCAGATGCACCTGAGCCTGAAGGACAGGCCAAAGCCCTGCATACGCTCCTGGGTTCCTCCCTTCCTTCCCACCGTGAAACTGCTGTAATGACAGATTTTTTAGAGACAGGTCTCTTACCCGCCATTAATGCCAACAAACTGCAAGTTCTTCTTGGTGTTGTTCAAATCCTTCTTCCCATCCCTTTTCTTCATGATAGATTTGAGTGTGTTTTCATTATTAGTACATACTGTTGAAAAGGGAGACAAAGCACACGTATCAGTACAAATCTGCAGCCGGCTTTGACTGCAGCAGCTTTAGACAATTTTTCAAAATAAAGAGACAGCTTTCTGTTTCATTTACCAACTGAAGCTGGGCTTTATCATCTTTTTATACATACAGTCATGGTGTGAGATGCACATTGGAAGAACTTTCAAACAGAAAACTAGTTTAGCCTAACTTTCCTATTTTCTAACATGCTGCTAATCTTTATGATGCTTTAGAAAACTTTAAGGAAAGACATGTTTGATTTTTTTCTTTGCTATTTGTGAAAAACTTATAACACTGAAATGGGTTACTCTGCTCTGTTAAGAAAATCTTCATTCTTGGTGTCAGATAACATAAGCTCATTGCCAGAATTAATGGATTAGTACAGACAGCACATTCAACAATAAACTGTTCAACAAAGTGGAGATGTTCAACCAAGGCTGCTCTTTTAGATTTTAGTGTCATAGAATCACAGAACATACTGGGTTGGAAGGCACCTTCAAAGGTCATCTAGTCCAACTCCCCTGCAGTGAGCAGGGACATCTTTACTAAAGCAGGTTGCTCAGAGCCCCATCAAGCTTGACCCTGGATATCTCCAGGGATGGGGCCTCCACTATACATCTCTGGGCAACCTGTTGTAATGATCTACTACCCTCATATTGAAGAACTTTTTCCTAATATCCAACCTAAATCTACCCTTTTCTAGTTTAAAACCATTACTCCCTCATCCTATTGCTAGATGTCCTTGTCAACAGCTTCCCCAGCTTTCTTATTGGCACCTTTCAGGTACTGGCAGGCTGCTATAAGGTCCCCCCTGGAGCCTTCTCTTCTCCAGGCTCAACAACCCCAACTCTCTCAGCCTGTCCTCATAGGAGAGGTGCTCCAGCCCTTGGATCATCTTTGTGGCCCTCCTCTGGACATGCTCCAACCGCTACACATTCTTCTTGTGTTGAAGGCTCCAAAACTAGACACAGTATTCCAGGTGAGGTCTCATCAGAGCAGAGTAAAGGAGGAGAATCACCTCTCTCAATCTGCTGGCCACACTTCTGTTGCAGCCCAGGATGCAGTTGGCCTTCTGGGCTGCAGATGCACACTGGTGGCTCATGTTCAGCTTTTCACCCACTACCCAAGTCCTTTTCCTCAGGGCTGCTTTCCAGCACATCATCTCCTAGCCTGTATCAATAACAAGGATTGTCTGAAACAACTTTTAAATCAATCTCTGAGCATAAGACAGGTAAAACAATCATACAAATTCAAGCTGGTTCAAAAAAAAAAAAAAAATTAACCCTTTCTTTCTCAGCACATTTTTCTTATGAAGACACTAAATGGCATTTCACTGATGCACCACAATCTGCCATTTAAAAACTAACCACTGTCTGCAGACACAAGGTCTGTGACTCTCCCCATAGCTGCACCTTTCCCTGCTTTCATGATTTTGAGAACCCTGAAAACCTTCTTTAACTGTATTTCATATTCAAACTCGATCAGCACAATGAAAGACAAATATGAGCCAGTTATTACCATAGAGGCCAGAAGCAAGCTGGTCATCTGTCAGGTTAATTGGAGCGAGAGTTTTGTCCTGAGAAGAAAAGGACTTCCTTCCCCGAACAGCTTCCACCAGGGGAGTCTTCCTCTCCTCCTGAGCAGGCACAATGTCCTGCTCTAATTTCAGCGTTCGCAAATTTGAAGTTAAGTGGGCGTTTGCAAGTTGGCCATGAGGGATGTACTCCAAAGTAGCACCTGCCAGAGAAGACAGTAGGCATCATGGAGGAGTCAGACCAAAACATTTCCATAAACACTGTGATCAACAGGGGAAAAAACACCAACTGGGAAAAAAAGGGCAACACTTGTGTTTCACAATACTCTTTTCTGAGGATCCAATAGGAAAAGGGTGTGATTGCTTTCAGAAAACATACAAAAAAATAGCTGTGATTTTTTTCTTTCCATGAAAACATACAAAACGAGGAAAAACTATAAAGATATTGGCTTTAAAACGTATGAAAGGAATGGTCCTTCCTTTTCCTTCTCTTAGGGCATGTGTGGTGACCCCAGCTCTGGCCACCCAGGCTCAGGGCAGATGTGCTGAGCTGCTCCTTCTCTGACGTGGCTGAAGAGTGTGCCACTCATGGGCTCTCCAGGTTCCTTCTGCAACAGCAGTGCCCTTTTTATCTTACTTTTTTTTAAGAAATGACATCTTCCATGAATGTAGAAACTTTTTAGGAAATCTTCCTTTTTGCCAGCATTCCACTAATTCTGGAAGTTACATACTTCACCCAGTTACTGAGACAACTGCAAAGAACTCCCACCCACTGCATTTCTTTCTTTTTGACAGGATTGTACTGAGCTAGTAGTTGTATTTAAATCAAACTCCAAATGTTTGAGTTATACCTTTTTTTTTTTCTTATTTGCTGGCATCCACTCATTTTTTTCCTTTGTGTATTTAAAAGGCAGTGCTAATTACACACAGACTTACAGATTCCCCTGGAGTTCCTCCAGCTGTGCTATTACAACTGCTCTACAAAGCTGCACAAATGCTTTTCCTTGTGGAACACACTGGTTTTTTATACACACATTCTTCCTTATGTGATCTTGCTAGCATTTCAAGGGAAAAAAAAAAAAAGAGAATGTTTAACTTCAAACACTATTTTTCTTTCAAAGCTTGCTTCAAATCACTTGTGCCTCCACAGATTTTTCCTTTGTATTTATCAAGAGGTAAGCCACAGCCTCATTCAAATAGATGAGTGGCACTGCACAGGATGCTAACATATTATAGTAAGGTAAATTCAAAATATTCATTTTAGAAACACAGCTGACAGCCTTCCTGTTCTTGCTAAACTGCCTTTCCCCCTTCTTTTTCTTTTTTTTTTTTTTTCCCCTGTAACAGCACATAGTGAAGCTGATTTTTCCAAACGTTGTCACTTCCCAGCAACTTCCTCCTCTTTGCTCCCTTTCACACCATCTCCAAGTTCCCAACCAAGTCTCACCCCACATGCATTTCCAAAGCGCCTTTTCCAGCAACAAGACCTACAGCCTACTTCCACCACTGCTTACAGCTCCTCCAAGCTACAGGGAGAAGCTGCCTGCAAGGAAAGGCACATGGCAGGGTATCAACAGACACGTCACTACAAGTACAGCCAAAAAGCTTCTGCGCTCTAAGGGAAGCAGGGGGTGAAGCTGGCAGCCACCCCAGTGCAGAAGCAACCCCTCTAGAGACATGCCTACATGCTCAGGATGAAATGGGCACATGTGGAAATCAAGAGGGAAGTCCCGCCCTTGCTCCCCCACCTCTCCTTGCTTCGCAGTGGTGACTGACTTCAGCCAGGTTTCTTGCTGACAGTGAGCACCAACCCTCATCTGCGAGCCGAGGAAAAAAGGGCTGCCACGTGATAGAGCACGGAGCCAAAACCAATGATTTTTAAACTCCCTTAGCTGAAAAACAAGGAAACTGCCTCTTTCTCCACTTGCTTGGGGTGGTGACAGCTACAGTTAGAGTACCAAACGGAGTATCTGCTTCCAGCTGCAGCTGGTGGTGGCTGCTTTTACCAGGTCATGCCTCCTGCTCCAGCCTCACCACTGAGGACATGGGGAGGGAGTAGAGGAAACATGCTCTGAAGCAGCAGGGATATGCAAAGCCTCCGAAGCTGCCCAGGGTTACTGTCAGATGAAGTCTCTCTGTCCTCTGCCAGATGTCACAGTCCTCCTCTGAAGGTAGCTGCGACAACTGCAGTGTGTCCTGGGGACATGGGTGGGCTTGCACATGCCAGAGCCAAGGGCAGCCAGCAGAGCTCTGGTAGGGCACAGTGGGGGTGTGCACAAGAAAGAGTCTGAACCTCCTCAGGTGTTTCCTTTCTTCCCTGGGACACAGCTGAGGAGGGAGCTGCAGAGCAGGACAGAGAGAAAGGAGAAGGACAGTAGCAGCCTCACAGCCTCTCTCTTAGCTAAACCCACCACCAATGAAACAAGGAAGTTCCCTCCTCTGGTCCATCCCTCAGTGTCTAAAAAGCACCACATTGAGTTCAGGATCTCGGGCACATTGTCTATGCCTTCAAAGGAAGAAGAAAAGATGTCCTGCTCATCCCCCAGCACCTGACAAGAGAGGATGATGATATCAAGGCTTGAGAACAAGCACACCACAAGCAAGTTGCATTAGATGAACACTTGGGAGAAGTACACTCATTCTCCCAACACAGCTGTTAGATATCTACACTCACTGCATCTACAGCACCCAAGATTCAAGGAAAGACAACTCTGGGCCCAACACAGCATTAGTGCTGCAAACCAATAATGAGCATTCAACATCAGCACTCAGGCCTTCTCTTTACAAAACAGCCAACATCAAGATCATAGAACCAGACTGGTTTGGGTTGGAAGGGACCTTAAAGATCATCTAGTTCCAACCCCCCTGCCATCAGCAGGGACACCTTCCACTAGACCAGGCTGCTCAAAGCCGCATCCAGCCTGGCCTTAAACACTTCCAGGGAGGGGGTATCCACAGCTTCCCTGGGCAATTTGTTCCAGCGTCTCACCACCCTCTTTCAGCTTAAAGCCATTTCCCC